TTGCTATTATTTCCGCGCGCTCTCAATCTCTACGTCTGAGCGGTAATTGAAGCTCTAGGCAACCAGGGTGTTCCCACTCCCTATATAGTGATGCTTAGTGACTCCTACAACAGCTTTTTAGCCAGGATCTTATCATTCTATAAGTAGGTCATCGTCAACGTGATGAGTGGAGTTCGGCAAGGCGATACCATTTCCACCATACTGTTCAGTGCCGCTCATTCGTGCTTATAACACCAAACATCGAGTAGGCGGAACCAGTGCTGGCCGAATTCGAGCTTTCTTGTTCTTCTAAATGGAACGAATATCTCCGAGAGCTTTAGCTAACTGTATTTAGGTCGAGAAGTCAACATAATGAACGACCAAACGCGCGGCGTGGGGAGCATTTTAAAACATCGAGAGAGTAGTGAAGGAGAGGAAGAGCAGCTCTGCGCTCACTTTTTCGACACTGTTATCTTTCCTCCTTCGATGTACGCTTTACACTCTACTAAGGAAGAAGAGTCCGGAATTCTCCTACACAGACAAGTGCAAAAAGGGATCCGGAGTTCCGAGCTCCTGCAACGAACGAAGATCATTGATGCCGTTGCTCACGTCAAGAAGTCGAAGATATGAAGAGCCGGGCACTTTATATAATACCGTGGTGACCGTTGAACTAGGGCGGTTACTGACGGAATTCGTCAGGACGTCAAACAACACCGGCCGGGGGTACGATGGTCAGAGTTATTCATGAAGGCTCTGAACGTAAGGAGCGCTATGCATCGTGTCCCTCAGGCGAGGTAATCCACAGTCCTGCAAGTATGTGTTCTACGGTGAATTCCACGTATTCTTAAAAGCACTTTAGTTGCACAGTTAGTTATTTCTTCAGAACGTTTGTAGGCACAAAATTTATGAGACTGACCAATTTAGATGCGCATATATAACCGCAAAAGCATTTCAGTCACGGTTTGAAGCCATCAGAAAGTAAGGACCAAGTTCGACAGATCAAGCTTGACATAGTGCCCGAGTATCTAATTGCCTAGGTTCAACTCAAACAAAAGAGAATTCTGGAGAGAAGTATACCTTTCCTCACGACATATTGATTTGTCTGCTCCTCTAAAGTCTCTCTGATGAGTTTCCAAGTGGTTACAGTACGACAGTCAACTCAAGCTCCACTGTCATGGCGTGTTTTTTGGGAACAGGTGTTGATGTCTTTTGTTGGCACGTGTTACGCAACAGGGGTCGGCGAAGGTCACCAACCAGATGACGCGTTTCCGTTCATTGCGGTAATACGGTAGCTGGCGATAGGCTGGCTGGCATTGCAATTATGGACAGGAGCGGCCGTAGTGCAGCAAAATCAAAATTACTCTGAAATAAAACCAGTCAAAATGAAATTTGCAATTGTAATAGTGTAGTGGCAAGTGGCACACTATATCACACGCACGGTCAGGGGTTCGAATCCCGGATCGATGCCCGCCTAGGCCGACCAAGCCTTCCATCCCTCCGGGGTCGGTGAATTGATACCACTCGTCTGGGGAGATAAAAGCACTGACTTGTGCATCGGCTGGCCACCGCAATTCATTGCATAGGCCAAATACGCACTCATTATGCCACTACGATTCTGAGTGGAAGTCGAGAGCGGGGACGCATCCCTCAGACGGGATTGACTAAAGCCAAAAACTATATCCTTATCTCTCATTCGGAGTTTCGGTAGCCTTTCCACCAGACTATGTTATGATCAGTTCTCTGACACCTTGTTGACTTCATTATTGACTATTTCATCCGTTTCTGCCTGCAAGTAGTATATATCGACAAGGGAAGTTGTGGCGATTTCTAAGCTAGCGAAGAAGATAATTGTCCGTAATCGAACTAAAAAGCATGTAAAAAGGAGTCAGTGCGCAATCAAGTGGCTCGAAGACCATCTTGCAGGCACCTGCTTTCGATTCTAGGCCTTCTGGTGGCTTTACGTACTATGATAAGTGAGAAAATCACACGGAAAATACTTGATTGCGATGGCCAAGGAGAATATCATAATGGAAAGGGCAGGGTCGTTTTGTGTTATAAGAATGTGCATTTCCACCATAGTAAAATCAGACTTTTGATTTTTCTGTGATCGGTATCAGCCTTGTTTGGAATGACAGGATCGATGGCCAAAAAGAGGTGAAGATAGACGTTGCTTTTTGCATTTGAAACTACTCAGGCATTCTTCCACCCGAACTCTTTAAACGTTTGAAACTATCCTGCTGTTTCGCTTTCAGTCACCGTTACTTCAAATATGCCTGCTCTCAGTCAATTTCGGCAATCAACCGAATGTCGTGGTTCGATCCGACTTCTACAACAAAAGCTACTTTAGCAATATTTTCCTCCAAAAGTACGCTTTAATACCAATACTTTCGAAATCTGAAAAAGTCTATGAGTAGTCTAGAGTTCTGAATAGAAAGCTTCGCTTAACATCCATGTATTTCATTCTCGAAAGAGCAGCGGATTGCAATGATCTATAGTCTGAAATCTACAACTTGATGGCTTCTTAAGAAGATTAGATTTCAATTTTGCATTCGTTTTCATGGTTTTCAAAACATTCAATAAGATCTCGATCAACAACAAGAATGAGGGTCTCGTTCAAAGCTGTCGCTTTCCAAGGTTGAAAGAAGCCAAGTTTTTTGCGAGCTCCCATCACTACAACGAAAGGAAACACCAATATAATTCGATCGAAAGTTCTTTTCCGACTATGTTCTTTTGATCAGCTTTTCTTATGTTTTCGTCGAAACTTACACATCCTGACATTTTATGTGATCCACAAAACCCCCAATCTCCTTTACACCATGAGCCAAAATTCAAAATTTATACAATAGTGGTTGGTGAAAGTCGACGCTTTCTATACATTTTATTAGTCATAGAGAAGCTTATTCCAACAATAATTGTCATTTCGTTTTCAGCGAGTGAATCCAAGAGCCATCCCTTTGTATTTCAGTCTGTGCGGCAGTCTCCTCTCGAATGAAGCATCCACTCCAACCTCGCGTTGCACTCACGATCATAATTGGCATTGCTTAAGCTAACTACATACTTGAGCGTCTGAAATCATGAAATGCTCTTGAATACTTCCAACAATTGGCATTTGCCTATAAGCACAAAGGTGATCCGTGAGAAGGGAAGTAAGTCTCAAGTTGACGGTAACTTTCTTGGGAAGAACGTGACTTCTGGCCGCGCCCACTCGTGAGTTGTAGCCAATCACCTCTGGGGCCACGCCCACTTCGGTGTTGCGCATCCGGTAGGGCATATGGGAGTACTACGGCACGCTACCCCGGAGCTAAATGTTCTCTCTACAAAATCTGAGCGGTTCACCTTCTATGCTCTCATTTATGGTCCAGCCATCATTTTCTGCTCCACTGAGGAGCAAGGGTAAGTGGAAACGATGGTTATGTTAATTATGCGAATTACAGTTGATGATTTTTTCAGACGCTTCGAGTCCGTTTACTGACCAGTTCTTGGATGTGTTCATGAACGCTCAACTGCACCATTTTCTAAAGTCATTGCCCCAGTTGGAAAAGAGGAACCACGAAAGTCTAGACGAGCAGGTTGGCGTATCTGAAAAGTATAGAAATATCCGGATTTCCGAAATATGTAAATACGTATATCCGACCATCGTTGAAGAAACTTATCCTTCCAATTTTGCTCTTTTTGAAGGACGACACTCCAGAAAAATCATTCAAGAGGTCGACTCAGGCCCTTTTTTCATTTTTCCCCCTTTGTAACTTACGGTAAGATGGTGAACCATTTGAATAGAAAGCTACTTTTCTAGGGCCCAAGAAAATATTGAAGGTGTCCTACAGTGACAAACCATGACTGCAGTAAGCGTCGCATTGTTGATTATTCATACATAGTTGGCAAATTTTTGTGAACAGTTCGAGTGGAGTTAGGGTAGAAATATCTAATGAACCTTTCACCTCCATCGATTCGAAGATTTTTTATGGCAAGATCGCGCATTGACAGTGCATGGCGCACACTCCTAACAGAAGCCCTGTGGGCGATTCAGCTTCAAAGAATTCAATGATTGGTGGTGTTTTCATCAAATAAAAAATGTTTCTCCTAGAGATTCAATCGTGACCTAGGTACTGGATGTTTGTTGTCGGTTTTTTTCATGGCTCGATAGGACCGTGACCTTTTTGATGAATTTTCGTGCGGTAACGTAACGAATTAGACAGACTCGGATTCTCAGTAGACAGCGGAACGAATGACGACTTCAGCATATTTATTCTAAAACTATCTCTGAATTGCTTACAGCGTTTGTAGACCTCAAGATCACAGTAAAGCTCTAAGCAATGGTTTACCATCTCAAAAGTTTCATGCAGTGAAAGAATGCTTAAGAAAGTCTAAAGCAAGGAAAGTTGTAAAAAAATACAGCAGAAATTACATGGACAGAAAAATAAGCAATACGAACAAGTTCCAGTTGATGTGGGCTCTAGAATAGACACAACCGTATTTTTGTTTGTCAAAATTGTACAGTTACTCCTTAATGAAAAGCATTGCTGAAGCATTCATCACGTCAGCCTTGCAGGGAATAATTCATTTTTCAGCGGTCCCACTGCTCCTTCTCAATCGACAACCTTCTGCGATCGGAAAGCGACGAGAAGCAGGTAAAGAAGACAAGCAGACGTACTCAGTGAGCAACTACGAAACAATGAGCTTATNCTCATTCAATGGTTCGATCTGCAAAACTAGGCCGCACCATCTCATGTATATTTATGGAAATCTCTGTCCTGTGTGGCGCTGAACGTGGTTAACATCCGCATCACACTGTCACTTCCTCATCGAGGAGAATTTTGTATTGCAAATTACGGTGAAGAGAGATACATACAGTAGGACTTGTAGTAAATCGCATTTCAATTATGTTTTAATAAGCTGGGAATTTCGATGAGCTCACATAACAGTGTAACAAGAGAAGAAGATGAAATACAAATTGCAAATATGAAATACAAAGGTATTAATAAGTATGAGTAGAAGAATTTTTATCTTCTTCCGTGGACGGCATGAATGATATTCAGTTATTGCAGACATCCAATTCGCCACGGTCCGACGTGACAGCGTATACTCTCGATGCTCTTGAAACCTCCGACAGACGAACGAAGCGAGAACGAAGGTATGTGTCGAAGAGAAACCTCGAAACTTATATGAAAATATCCTAGGTGATACGAGTTGAAACTGCTTCTTCCAGTTGGAGATATTAATATTTGGAACGAAAAAAGCATTGAGGAAGTGGAAATCTTTTAGTTAGACGATGAGTAATAGGAAAGGTCTTGATCAAAAGCAGCGTAGGATGGCGATATTTGATTGGAGTTGGGATCTAGATATTTCGTAGTTACTCTCTTTGCGAACTTTTCATTGAAGGGAAAAACTTTAGCAGAAAAATGCCTCGATGCCAGCAAAAAGCTTTCTTTCTGATAAGAGACGTAAGCTGCTCGGCTTGCGTGAGTGGTATGAAAAAACAACCAAAAGATCAATCAACCATCAGGATCACGATTATCTATACTCGTGTTATTAAGTGATTCATTGGAGGATGAGATGAATCTGCATTATTTGAATTTTGCTATATCTATGGAGAAGACTGAAGCAGCTTCTCAGATAGCGAAGAATTAACAAACATAACATTACTGGCATTTCCAATATATCTAACATCTATTAGAAAATCTGACCGCCTCCAATTTTTGCAAGAATAATTGCAATCATTTACATGATAGCAATCTTGAATGCAATTCAAACTTGCTCCTTCAGATTCGCTTCATCGCGCTGCGTCTGCGATCAGTGCGGCAAGTCATATGCAACCACCAGCAACCTCAGTAGACATAAGCAGGTGTGATTTTCTCTTTTTTTTCTTACAACAGAGTGGGTTTAATTAGAAAATAGCATCGAACAATTAGACAGCTTTGAATCGGTTTTTATGACGTGGTAATTTGCCGAGAGAAGATAGCCGATACACGAACTTCTAAGCCTGAAGTTGTTGAAATCACTGACTTGCTAGTTAATCCTTGCAATGAGAAATATAGAGTCTAGATTTTCTTATGCCCCGTTTCTTTTAGACCCATCGGCCGTTGGATAGTGAGCACGCCAAGCAATGTCCGCACTGTGATCGGGTATACGTTAGTATGCCAGCACTTAGGTAAGTTGGCATTTTATTGGTGGTAACATTATAGCTAACCATAAAAAAAAACTGAGTTTTAGCAGATAAGTAATGACGTACTTTGAATGCAGCTCGATGTGACTATAAGCTAAAGTGGGGCTTTTTATTCGAAGGCAGCATATGCATAAGGCAGACCACTGTATCCGAAGCGCGTGCGGCGCTGGCCGCATCCAGTCCACCGCAGTCCCGCGCTATGAAGGTGAAGATTTGGGATACCAGTATAGGGATACGGTACATGCTGCGAAACCACCTTCGCTTGCCGCGAAATTCGGCTGACATTCTGAGGTGGTTTTCAGGGGTGTTCTAGAGCAATCCAGTCATTCAACCTACTGAGATAATTTCTGATCATAAGGAAATGAAGTAAGAAACGCATATCCTTCCTGAATTCTACTGACACAGATTATCATTGAGAGTTAATATTTTTAACTAGTACTTTCCGCACTATTACCATTTCGAACTGTTTAAGCTGTTTCGAGTTTATCGAAGGCAAGGGCAACATCACTCAGTTCCTGCGTATATGTTGGGCACAAACTCATTTGTAAAATAAACAACGTGGTTGTTTTCCAAAGTGACCAGGTAGCACATTCCGGCTTGGCGTAGTAATGACAAGGTTACCGCAGACGAGTAGCATATTAATTTCTTTCAAGGTGTACTAAAGGGGGATAGAGATAGGTGAGATTGGGAAGCTTCTTACCTCTTCTATATTTGTGTTGCCAACATCTTTTGGAGGACATCCTAGTGGGTTCTAGGGAAATTTGCTCATCCTGTAGCTGACGCTGGCCCACAAAATCGTATGATCATATTTTTGTAATTCCCACCCTTTCTTAACGCTAATGTCTTCACTAATTCGTCATGGTTACCTTTACAATTATAACAACAATTCTCCACAGTAATAGAAGAGCATTTTCCAAAATGAAGCCTATTCTATGTAGGAGGAAAAGTGGTTGTACATATCTGCAAAAGTGCTAATGGAACGGTAGTAAACATTGATAACGATTTTATGGAATATGAAATCAAAGGAGTTTTAATGTTGGAGCAATAGGGCTCTGCATCTCTGTACTCTTCTCTTTTAACCGTAGAACTGGGAGCACTACCACCTCTCGCAAAATATTGTGTTGCTGGCTTCATTCTTACCATTTACTCCGAAATAACTCTCATTGCTAGCAATCAAGAACTTCCGATGAGTTTCATATCACTTGCTTTGGGAATTACAATATTAGCCTTACCTAAAATGAATCGGTTTCACCTCAAAACAACTAAAAATCTAAAAGAATCATCGATGTCGTTCTACATGCACCTGGAAGGTCACGCAATAGGATAGCAATCTTGCGCAACGATGCAGGTATCAGCTGTTCGCACAAGCGTGCTCAATAGAACAGCGTCTTTATCTCAGAGGCAGCCTTTCTTAAAATCCTTCCGGAAGATTCAAATGTAGATGAACTACAAGAAGCACTGCAATGTGGTAAAGCAGATCTACATTGAAGCTCAAATAACAGCAAAATTCAGTTCTCTTTATTAGTCTACGAGATGTGCGTTAAATGGTGCGAATGGTGCGCTCTGCATAATGAAAGGCAAAAAATGAAAAATGACACGGAGAGTGGAGCTTCTACTACTCCACTGAAAAATTTGTCGAGAAAGATAAGACTCCGTTAACGGGAAACACGTTTTCTTAAGTCTCTTGAAGTTCCTTAAAGTATACTCTCCCCAAAACATTGAAGTGAGATATCTATTTCAGCATGCATATTTTGACGCACAAGGCCAATCACAAGTGCAATCTCTGTGGCAAGGTCTTTTCACGACTATGGTTACTACAGGTTCGATTATACTTTTTATTACTATCTCATAGTTTTTACCCTGAAAATGGAAGGCTTGCAAAATGTCGTCGCGTCTAGTAGGAGCAGAGGAGGACCTTTCGCCCGTATCCCCACTATGAGTATGAGATGAAAGAGTGAACGTGTAATTAGCAGACAAACACCTTGCCCTTATTAACCAATTCTCCATAATTGTTCAAATGGCGTCTGAGCTCTTCGATGTTTGCTGTCGCCGTTCATTATGGAAAACAGCTCATAGTAAGCAATTTTTTAGGATGACTCGTTTCCTAGACTTCTAAGCGTAGGTATGTTGCTCTTGAAACAAAACGACTTAAATCACTGGCTGTGTCGAATGACATTGTCTATATCTTATCAGTTCATCAAATTATGAGTCCTTATAGGATTAATTTGTGGAGTTCATAAAAGTTTGAAAAACTGCGAGCTGTTATTGAATGAGGCAAGTATAAGAACATTTTTATAGGGTCATCTCCGCTCTCATACCGGTCAACGCCCATTTGGATGCGCTCATTGCGGGAAGAACTTCGCTGATCGGAGTAATCTGAGGGCACATATTTTGACTCATAACGGTTCGTGACAACATTTCAGACACACAACTATTCAAACAAACCAATTTTCAGTTTAATGCACTTTTAGGATCCTTATAGCAGGAAATTATGAAAAGTATCGAATATGAGCATCGGAAAACACCTATCTCTGGCCCTTTTGTTTGAGGGTTCATTCGGGTGTTGTTATAGGAAACGTCAAACACAACCAGCAATATGAAGTCATAACATGTCACAGCATCTGCTTATAGATACTATCTTTAATCTACATGTTGGCAAACATCGGAAAAAAGGGCCAGTGATTGACGGCAACATAGTTCCCTAAGCTCGGCCGCGACCCATTTCAAAGCCTCAGCGCCGAGGAAACTAGGATTACGATCAACATATACTTGGAGGGGCTTGAAATCTCCACAAGCTGTATTCTGTCCAACAACAAATCAGATAGCCCACAGAACAAAATTTTCCAAATGGCCGGAGAACTTGTCAGATCGTTGATTCGGGCAATTGTATCATATTTGATTCATCAAAAAGCCAGAAATATTAACGTTATGTTATTCATTACTCATTGCAGGTGAGAAGAAGTACTCATGCAAGAGATGTGGTCGTCGCTTTGCTTTGCGAAGCTATCTTAACCGTCACACGGAGATTTCCTGCAGAATAGACTGAGCCCCTAAAATATCGAATCCGGAATTTACCACCTAATTATTGGGCATTTTGTCAGCGCCTACTACCATTCACTCGAGTTTTTACTACTATAGATTTATTAGAGCGTACATTTATCTGTTGAAGTTGCCATCGTCTGAAACTGGTAAAGTAAAGGTTGCCCACCTTATAGTAATGCTCGTGGTGGATAGGCTACAAAGCAATGCAGCAATCTAGAAAAAAAACGAATTTCGCCACAGAAGGATAGCTTCCTAAAATTGAAAATTGATAGGATTTTGGGAAATCATTCTGTAAGAAAAATCTTTTTGCTTCAAGAGCCTCGCAATTTCACCTTTTGGTACGTTGTGTGCACGTGGCTACATAGAATTCCTCAACTTCATTATGCCTAAAATTACGTAATCCCTTCTTTCTCATAATTTAGAGTATTGGTATCTCGGGCTTTTTTCCGGAATCATGTGACTCTGATGATTTTTATAATGCTGGAAATCCATTTTCAAATGTCGAGCATGACAACTTACCTTCAGGACGAGCTTGGACTTAGTTTTCGTCCCACTATCGTAATTTAACCGTAAATCATTTTTGTTGAATGTGGTTTCAGTGAGTTTCTGAAAGTGATATTTGTTTCCCTAGTCACTTTTCTTGATGTTTGATGTGCCAGGTTTGTGGAAAGATGCCTAAGCTCTCAATAAATAATGCAAAACCCATCCCAGATCTGTGAGTCTTGGGAAGACACATATATTGGCTCCTTCCTACAGGTGATTACGATACTAAACGGGATACCTTCAGTGCCCCTTTAATGTATCACCTATGAAAAAGTTTAGGATTGAAGTACGGTTACCTCTGCTTCACCATCTGCTCATGTGGTGGGTGTCGTGCGATTCCGTCAAAACTAAAACAAGGGACGATATTTTGATCAGTGTTACGTCAGAACTAAGGTTTCACTGTCTTAGAGAAGATTGAAATTTCTTTGTAGCTGAAGGACGAGTTCACAGTCAATCAGATAAAAATAAAATAAGAAAGTTTAGGAACAAAACGCTTCGTAGTAGTCGGCGGTAAGGCTTCATTTCCATGGTCCGCATAGCCGGATTCTGCTCTTTTTCTGCGCTCTAGCCTCCAGTGTTTGAGGCTGTTATATAGTATCGATCAAACTCAAGTCTTGTGCATTTTGGTAACTTGGTTCATTCCTCACTTATTCCAAATTCACTGCGTATTCTGCGTATTCTTACGCTGCAGATTACACTCATTTCAAGCACGCTTGCCCCTCCCCCCTCCTCCATCTGTCCTCCCCTCCCTTGTACCCCTACGACATTTGAACGCTCTGGGTCCGAAGGGAAACTTTCGCGCACACCCCACCCCTGCTAGACTTCACGTGCACGAGAGAAATCCCGAGCTGAAAAGTCGAAATGAGTGCATTGCCATAACAGGCGAATTTTACTATTCATTCGTTTTTATAGGGCTCTGAGAACACCGCGCAACTCTTATCCAACGACCGTCAATAGTGACTCATTGGTCCCTTTTGTTCATAAAATTGATGGGACGGCAACGTTGGTGGAGCCGCAGAAGGTTGTTGGTTCTCGGTTAGCATCTTTTGGTGTTCAAGTTTCTGGGAGCTGTTGCAAGATGGGTGCTTGATGGGGTGAGCCACAGATCAGGAACTCCGAACTGCTTTCAGGTCCTGAAGACCTGTTCGAAACGTCAACCAGATAAAGCAGTTTTTACCATAACTAACCTGTACGCCGCAAAACAGCGTAAATATTATGCAACACGGGCACGTCCGATTCCATCGTCGTTGTAACTATGTTATTCGACCCACGTTGCGCACCGAACTGCGATCTCAAGATGAGCAAGTTTGAACCGTGTAAGAATTCGCTGCTTGAGTTATGTTTCCGCTCTTCCGCTGGTATTAAAAAACATCGGTGCTCCACCGTTCCTGCACGTCCTAGCGGGAAGCGTCTTCGAGTCATTCTCTCATTTCCTCGCTGCTCTACTTTCTTCTTCTTCTTCTTCTTCTTCTTCTTCTTCTTCTTCTTCTTCTT